GTCGTGTAGACCAGGAGTGTTACAGTTATCAGGTTACAGAAGTGTGTGTAAAAACAGGTTAATCAAATTAGTGTCAAAATCTGATTTTTTTTTTTTTTTTTTTTTTGCAGCTTTCAAATTATTTTGTATGTAAAGACATTTATTAAGTGAACACACTGGCAACCTCTCCATCTGTGTTTTAAAGGAGCCAATCAGTTTCCCACATGCTGAGCTCTGATTGGCTCATTTTCCTTGTACGTTCTTGTCAAAGGGGCATCAATAAACCAAAATGTCTTTAGGATCGCGAGAAACAAATTCTGACAGTTACTCTTCGACATCATCCCAAAGGTCATATCCCAAATCCACACTAACCCTTCACTCAGTCCCTTCTCACTCATCACTGAGTGTGATTAGAGTCACAGGGTGCGGAGCGTACACTCGCCCCGAGGACCAGGCTGTGTGGAAAATGCAGGCTTCTCCTCATTAGGAATTCCAGTGCCAGCGCTCCGTGTCGAGGCCTGACACCACCAATAAGAGCGGCCTCTGATCCGGCCCCGGCTCTGGAATTCTCCAAATCAGAGCCCTGCATATCTTTATCCGTGGGTCAAAGGCAGCTCGGGAGGAACGCTAATTGCTTTTGTCACGTTGGATGGTTCGCTGGTGATACGAAAGAGTAGGCTTGTATTCCTCCTGATAAGAGTTCGGTAAGAGATTCTTTCTTTCCATAAATTATTCCGGCTACTGTTTAATTCTTAATTTGTGGATTTTCCAAAGACACGTATAAGGTTCTGAAAACGAGTCCCTGACGGCACCAGACCATCAGTTAGATTGACGAGGATGTCTTAACGGAATCCTTCTAATTAGCGTTCTTTATTGCTTTATAAATAAAATCACAGCAGTACTTTCCCACGTGTCTGCCGTTTTTGAACTGTAAAGACGTGTCTTGTAATTCCATCTGGAAACCAGGAGGTGTGATGAATGTCAGCTACAGAGATTCCACACTCAGGATTGCTTAATCGCACGCTAATGGTATGCTGATGTGATGTAGGAGGATAAACGATTGAACGCCGGCCTCACTCATCTTTTTCCCCCCTCCCTCGAAAAACCTGCATAACATTAGCGTTAGTGAAAGGGGAGTGATCGCAACCAGTAACCATTACAGCACTGCTGATTACAGAGTGAAGCAGATTAGAGGACAGTGTCTTCTTCTTTCCCCCCACCCAGAGCTCAGGAGATGAAAAAATACAGACTTTCATGAAGCAAGACTGGAGAGAAATTAGGAAAGACTTGAAAAAAGAGAGTGAAGAAATGATTCATCTTTCTGTGGTCAGACCAAGCTAGTCAAGCGCAGAGCCTTTGATTCCACACAAACCCGTCAACATAGAGTCATCTCTGAGGAAATGGTCAAGGAATGCTGTGTGTGTGTATATCTGTGTGTGTGAAATGGACTTCGGAATGCAGTACTGAAATGCTCTACATCTGTCTCCCTGCTGGAGTTAATGAGCTTCCTTTCCTCTTCCTTCAGCTCGAAGTTTCTCCTAACTGGTCTCACCTTTGGGTTAGCGTCTGCATTTTCACACACACTTTCACACAAACACATAACCATAGGACATGTTCAGCTTTTGTGTTAGTGTGTTAGTGTCCTACCAAAGTGAATCTGTTCTACACTGCAGGAATTGTTCAGGAGCCCAGAAACCGAAGGAACCAGGGCTGATGGCACAGCACTTTTCCATCAAACAACCAATCAACCAATCTTTTATTTCTAGCTCCACCCACCAGATACTTACACTGCGTTCGTCTAAAACTCGCAGCTTGTAATTTCCAACCTCTGATTACAATAAACAAAGAAAACACCCGCTCGATTCGGAATTCCTACTCGGGAACTTGGGATGGTCTCCTCAACCCTGAGTTCAACACGTGACGTCAAATCAACATGGCCGCTCATGGCCGCATCAAAGTAAACAATGTAGCTCTTCTTACCTTTATATAAACAACTATTTGGTTTAGATCAACCAAGTCGAATGCAGCAAAAGTTTTGGTACCCTCAGGTCAGATTTGTGTTTGAGTACAACTTAAATACAACAAACAAAAACGTGAAAGGCGAAGAAAGCCTCGGATGGCACCAGTTCCTTCAACATTGGTGCTGGTATGAAGCTTATTGAAAACATCCCGTTTGAGAGAAGCTAACACGTTTCAGATGTAAGACACCAGTGTTTTCTCTCACGGGTTAGAGGCCGACTCGTACGAGCCTTCAGCCAGTACACCCCAAACCGCAGGGCGAAAAAAAGATGACTTGTTTTCAGTGAAAACAGAAATGATCTTATCTCGTACCTGTAGACTTTTTTACTGCAACCATGTGATAGGGTCAAGCAACAAAAGCTGAAAGAATGTTAACATTTCAGAAAGGAACGTTCCCTGCAGTAAATCCTATCATTTTATGTCGGCTACTTGGAAGATGAACGTGGCTGGAGGACAAGTCATACAGATTCGATTTCAGTCGTATCTGGTGACATCGAGTTTCCCGTTCTTTCCTTCTCGGCAGTAACAGGATCCACCTTGATCCGGGGCCCAGGAGAAACTCGGGAGCTTGCTTATAATGCAGCCGAGGCTGGGACAGGAGGACAAAGAGACGGAGAGAAGGAGGGAGGAGGAATAGAAAGAGATCTTCAGCGTACCAGGACAGCGCTCGTCTCGGGTGGAACGCGAACGATGGATTAGCCGTGAAACAAAAGAAACGGAGCGAGAGATGAAAATCAATAACGCAGCAGAGGGAGGCCTTCATATGATATGATCCAGAGCCTCTCTGAATCGTTTTCTGCCGTTTATCTCCCACTCTCTGGCGCCAAAAAACAGTCCAGCTAAGAGCCAGAGCTAAAAACCAAAGATATCTACACCCATTCATCAGCTTTACTCATTTGGTTCTGCTATATGTATTTAAAGTGGGTGTGGCTAGTATATCTTTAGTGCACTCATAGATTAATTATATGCACTGGCGGTACCAAAAACATTTTAAGCAATTCCTTTAGGATTTTTGTCCAGCAGTGAACCACATTTTGTTCATAATCTGTCACAGTCAGATTTTCGGGATGATGAAAGATTATTTATTTATGCAATTGGGTTAGCATGGTTGTGTTTGCTATTAAAAAACTGTGCACACATTCCTCAGAAATAAAAACAGTTACAGCTACCACCCCAAAGTTGATTATTTTCCAATAACAGCACATCCTGAAGTGTCCACGTCCACGAAAACAAGTTAGTTCCTGTTCACACTTCATGTCACTGCTGAAGTTAAGAAGTTTAAAAACTTGTCATTTTGCTGAGAAACCGAGAAAAAAAAATACTCCTCTGTCCTGAAGATGCTGGACAACAAAGCTACAGCTTTTCCTCTGACTGTTACAAAGTGCTGAGACTGGAGAATCCTTCCATAAATGTTGAATAAACATCTCCTTACAGATCAACGACTACACCTGTTCTTTAATCCGTTTATGTGGAGCTTCCGCCGAACAAGCCCCTGTAACTTATTAGAACAATAATATAAACCTGTGATTTTATCATCATTATTAATTGCCCAATCTTACTTTGTTCTCCAGAGGACTTGGCATGTGCTTCCTGTTCTTGCCTTGCAGACCTCTACGAAATGAAAATCAGCTTATCATGAGAACATTCTGGAAAAACCCAGATCCTCAGAGCTGATACCATCTTCTGAAGCAGGCATGCAGACGCTAAAGAAACACGATGACGTTAAAATAATAGTTATTCGAAGGTCCTGGACGGAACATTGCCGTCCATTCAGTCATTGTGTCAGGTCGAGGGCAGGACCGTACAAACAGGGTTATCTCTGCTCTGGCTTAGCCTAATCACTCTTTCCATTCCGACAAGTGTTAAAGTGGTATTTCCTCAGCCATTAGCCGGGAATTCTATTCATCAGCCTGCTGTTAGCACACTTAACCTTTTGCCTGGTGAACCTTATCGATTAAAGCAAAAGCTGCAGGTATTTAAGTTGGACGATGATGATTAACAAAAAAAGTAAAAAAAAAAAAAAACCTACACCAGGCCAGTTTTTCTACAAAAATGTAAACGGCAAAAAAAATCTAAAATGCACACCAGCTGCTCTCATCTTAGCTTGATGCTGAATCTCTTCACTTTTGGCTCAACACTGGTAAACAGAAACGTTCTGAACTTCATCAGGTCCCTGCTGAGAAAGCTTAAACACCAGCAGGGCTTCATCGCTCTAGACCACATCAAAGCCGGGCCCTTAACGCTCACGGCCAACACCGCTCATCCAACCTCGTTATATACCCTTTTGCTCTTCATCAACGGATGAGTCATCCTGAGAGTCGAGACTGACGAAAGCACAGCTGTCAGGACAGGAGAGGTGTAGAGGACTGATGAAGACAGACGCACATTACAAACATTTCCCTGAGGAAAGCTTTTGCTCCGATTCCCTAAAAAAAAAGGAGCTCTGATGAAGTTTTTTTGTGTTTATTTAACACTGGTGGAAGGAGTCTCCAGTGTCAGCGCCTTGTAACAGTCAGAGGTAAAGCTGTAACCAGAGGATTTACACTTGGTTTGTGGTTTCAAGGTGTGTGTTTTTTTTTTTGTCTTATTAACTTCAAGAGAGGCTAGTGAGGGAATGACTGCTAAGTGAGAACAGGAACTAACTTGTTTGATGGACGTTCCATCATTAAACCAACATTAAATGTAACTATAAACAGATAAATAGTACAATGTCTCCATCCAGCCATCCATCCATTCACTGTACTGCTTACTCTACACAGGGTCGCGAGAGAGCCTGGAGCCTATCCCAGGGGACTCGGGGCACAAGGCAGGGGACACCCTGGATGGGGCACTGACCCTTCGCAGGGCACAATCACACACACACACACACTCATTCACACACTACGGACAATTTGGAAATGCCATTCAGCCTACAACGCATGTCTTTGGACTGGGGGAGGAAACCAGAGTACCCGGAGGAAACTCCCGAAGCACGAGGAACCCATGTAAACTCCACACACACAGGGCGGAGGTGGCATTCGAACCCTCAACCCCGGGCATGCGAGGCAACGGTGATAACCACTAAGCCACCATGCCCCCAGTACAATGTCTCATTCTTTAATAAATAAAAATACACTGTAATTGTTAGCAAATTGCTGTGTTGTAAGAGGAATAAAACACATCAGGACTAGTTGTTATAGGAGAATAATCAGTAACAGTAACTCTGCTCCATCATACCACTCTGTCATTAATTATTTTTCTTCAACAGCACAAAACATAGTGTTTTATTTCCACCGTTATTGTTAGAGTGTAACGGTTGTAATTATAAAATTATCATGTTTACTTGCGAGTAAACAGAGTTTGTGTGGTTTTGTTGTCAGAACTGAGAAACTATTTCCAGAGAAAGGATTATTTTCAGTACAGATGTGGTAGATAGACATTAGGTTGGGGAAAAAATGTAACTTTTATAACAATACATCATTTATTGAATTAAAAGAATTCAAGCTGACATCGCACACTGATCTCAGAATGCAGTGTGACCGACTTTCACCGCAGTGCAATCTTGGCCCGTATTTCCACATGCTCTGGCCGTGGGGCTCTCAGATTTAGCTCTGGATTTAGCTCTGGTCAAGTCTTTCGTCTCTTGTGCCAACACACACAGAACAGATCCATAACTCACTCAGCACGGTTCATGAGAGGCAAAATTCAGCAAGAGCACTGACTTCTCGCAGAGAGAGGAGCGCCCAAGATCCATCGGCGTTTTCTCAAACTATCAAAAAAATTAAACGCGCACGGGACGCCAAATTGTCCTCAATTATTCTTACGGACGTCTCTTCGCTTGGATCGAGTGCTACATTTTTCCGCTCTTGTAATATATTCTCGTTCTCGCCATGTAATACAGTTTTTTTCTCTCCCATCTCACTCTGAATGCAGTCTACCTCCTCCTGATGAAATCCAGTTAACCCCCTTCAATCCCAGGGGCCCCTATGTTCAAGAGGATGTCAACCCCCATTATGCATCTCCCATCCAGACATCTAATAACCTCAGATCAGCCTCGAACTGCAATTCACTCAGTCAATTTGATGCTCCGTTTCTCTCGCCTCGATTCTCTCCTGCGCCCCGGATCAAACTAGCATGCGACGACGCATCATGCGGGCCGAGAGCCGAGCGAGTGAAGCTGTGGTAAAGGTTGGATGGAGAGACGCAAGGCGTGACAGCTGAGTAGTTATTGGAGGTTGGAGAAATGCAGTGGAGGGGATCGACCGCAATTCCTCGTGACTGCGCAGCTTGTAATGAGATGCTAAGTTGACGGAAAATTTAATACAACGTCCACGCAGCAAATGGTGCTCTACTTCTGCTGTGCATTGTCTCCTTAAACTAAAGTTACACCCCCTTGTTTCAGTGTTCATAAACACTCATCCTGCTGCTCATCCCAGGACTCTAATTGACAAATAAAACTCAGCACGAGGAGTTTATCACAGTTTATCGCTGGCTAGGAGAGAAAAAACTTCTACACACGACACTAGGTGAGTGGATCTTTATCAGTCATCGATAACCATGGATTCTGACGCAAAGAAACCAAAAACGTACTTTACTCACAGCTGTACAGATGTGAAAGAAAACCCGCTCTTCTCCACCGCAACCCTACTCCATCCACGCTAACTAATGTAGCTAGCTAATGCAATTCATTTCAATTCAACTCTCTAACGTTATAAAGAACGAGGCTAGTGTGTGCTTTTCATGGCCTCTGTTTAAATCAGGGAAACAAACAGAGATGTTCTGTGATGCTCCTGACTGATACTAATTAGGTTACTCATTTTGGTATCGGTGTTGAGGAATACCAAAACGTTTATGCGTACTCAGTCTGAAATAAATCTGGCCTCTGGACCGCTCATTAGGGATCTAAATCTACATCGGGATTTCTGTAAAGCCGCTTCATGACAATCTCATCAAAGCTGATTGGTGTTTAATCTCAACTCTGATCCTGTTCAACATCCCATACGACAGACACACGCTCTGACCGACAGCACTTAGCATCTGCTGGTGTGTAGATCTAAACCCCGTCGGCAGTTGTCCAGAGGAACGTGTATGAAGCCCCATCAGGCCCTCTCTTCGTCTTTCAGCTCCAGCTCACATGGACGAGCCAAAAGCAGGGCTGCGAACACACAGCCTGGTCCATCTGCCATCGCTATGTGTGCTATGCATGTCCTGCCTAACAGCAATCAGGAACCAAGCAACATCAAAGCACCACAACAGGGACAGTCCACTGGAAAAAAAGGGAGCACAAAGTGGGCTCCATGTGGGCCAAACACTGAAATCATTACCATACCTCTCCTCTCCGTCAGTCTGAGCCTTTTAAACTGTACTTAAAGCAAAAAAAACCTGAGGAGAAGATAACGAATGATGAATAAGATATGGAGCAGCTCCTTCAAGAGTAACTCACTGCTAATAGAGTCGCAAATAAGCATTATATCTCTTCTGTCAATGCAAACCAAACTACATATTTATTGCCACCTTTTAAAAATGATTAGCTACAAAATTTGAAATATTACACCCAAACAAAAGAATAAACCAAAAACATTCTTACAGCTACGGAGGCCATTCTTTTTCAGGACGACTATGAACATGTTTTTTTTTTTTTTTGGTGAATACAGATATAGATACGTGTGTCTGTGTTGGATGATGCCGTCTGCTGCTAGAAATAAACACCTATGCTTACGATCATATGGTGTATAAACAATATCTTTAATAGACAGAACGATGACGAAGTGCGTCAGTGCTCAGTGCTCGCCGAACTGAAGCACTCTGTCCCTCACGTGTGACAGAATCTTCTCGCGAATATCGTACTCAATTTTATGTTTAAGATGTTTTATCGCTTGTATTGTGTAGGAAGATGCTGTAGGTCCTGCTCTTGATGTTTTCACAGAGTGCTGTTTATAGTCTGCTTTACTATGATTGACGTCATTCATCATGAAAATGTCCAGTTTGCTGTCATTTCGTGTCATCTGTCTGCATTAGCAAGACAACGTACACCCTGATCATGTGACGTAGTATCACCTAGGTTTATCACCTTTGTTGGTATTGGATGATATTTTATAAGTATTAGTATAGGACCGATACCTGATATCAATATCAGTATCAATACATTTCTACTTACAAAAAAACTTGTTTTTTAAAATAAATAAACTTTTAAAAATGAAAATAGTTAGTTATGTTTTGCCTGTGCTCATTTGTGCTAGTTCTGTTCAATATCATTTCCAATTAAAAGGAGAAAAGATAAAGTGTCTTTCATTGATGTTTAGTTCACAGCATTGTCAAAAAGCAGTCATGAATGCGTGCAGTTATTTTGTAAAGATGATATAAGATTTTGTCCATTTCACCCAGCCCTAGCACGCAGATGGAAGTTTTCGACAAAAGAAAGAGCATACATCCAACTCCAACAATCACTTCTGAACTGAAGGTGGTGTCAGTGTGCACAAACCTGAGAATGTAACAGAGCTTGAAATCTTGTTCAAGTTTTTAAGATCTCCAACTTTGTTAAACATCACAGAAAGAGACTTGACAAAATAATTCTGAGAGGGGCTGATACATTTATAACCAGTATATTGCTCAGGAAATGTCATCCCTGATAGCTAGAAGACTCTTAGGAAAGCATGTCGTGATGTCATTCACTGCCCAGCCCTGTTAGATGGTTGTATATTTTGTGTACTGTCCCTCTGCCTGGACACCATCTGTGGCCGTTCTCCTGCTGTAGTTAATGAAGGGATTAGGAGCGTATGGGAGCGTCGGCACGGCTGCTCGATGCCCCCCTCTGCCCCGAACTCTTTTATATGGAAACCATTCCAGCAGGAGTGCGGCTTACAGCAGAGCCGCCCCACTCGCAGCCCAGCACGGCCTCCGATGTCCTCGCAGCTAGCGCAGAGACTCTGCCGGACCTGTCCTCTATCCCTCTGTTCAGCGTTCCACATGCAGCCACATGCAAAGGTGTGTGTGGTAGCTATAAGTGTGTCTGGCCAATAGTGAACTCGTACAGTGGCTTGTGAAGCAGAGGGTTTGCTTTGGCACAATCTGAATCGATCAGTAATGAGCTGCACCAGGGCTCCGAGACTGGAGGAGGAGGAGCTCTGCCTCGCAGGGGCCACTTCCTCTCGTACCGAAACCCAAACAAAAGAACGCATTGATTAGAAGCGATGGTGCAAATATGCAGGAGTCATTCGTAAAAACAAAAGTCAGTCCAATACAAACACGAGACATGTTTCACTCCAAGTGTCATTATGCACAATACATTCTGTACTCCTTGATAGAAAGCCTTGAAATTTAGACCAGTATTTTTCTTTCGCTTTTTTTTTACAATGTGCATAACATAAAGCTGTCTAATTTTGGTGCTTTTAGCTAAACTAGCTTATAAGTATTACGTTTTTTTAGCCAAGCATTTTCACACGTTTTACGTTCCGACGTTTTCAATGTTTCTTGCTAACAATTCCAAGAAATAAGCCAAAAAAAAACAGACTGAGCGTTTATATCTTCTATAAGCTGTAGTAGAAGAGGAATAAAGAGGAATAAAGGAATAAAGCACTCTGTGTCATGCTGTTATAGGAAAATAATCAATGACGGAGTGGTGTGATGAAGCAGAGTCACTGTTACCATCCCATTGTTGATTATTACGTCCCAAAGTATTCTATTCCTTTAATTTTTTTTTTATTCATTAAAAAAATCATACTGTACTTTTTATCCATTTGTAGCTACATTTACTGTGTATGGAATGTCCATGAAACAGGTTAGTTCCTGTTCTCACTCATGTTAGAGTACCTATAAACCATCATTCCCTCACCAGTCTCTTTTCTCTTGAAGCTAATAAGAAAATAAAATAAAATCCTGCAGCTTGTCATGTTAAAACCACATGAGAAACCACAACGCATAACCTCCTCTGTCAGGAAAATCTCTGAGTGTTACAAAACCCTGACACTGGAGACTCCTTCCTCCTGAAGAAAACTTCACAATTATATGTTTTTCTTTGTTAACTAACGTTATTTTTTTCCATTAGCTTTGGATTTCGTGGAGCTTCCACCATCTACATCTGTGTTAAGCGCTGAAGA